GTGGCTTTGGCGATCGGCGCTCCAGTCAATCTACTCCACAGCCAATCACGGGCCCCCTCCTTGCTCGCCTAGCCCTATGGTTAAAACGGCCCTGGTCGCATTGCACCTGTATTAAAGTCATTACACTGCTTACCTGTTAGTTTTCGTATTGATTTTAAAAATCGTTTATTAGTTTATAAGGCATTGCACGGATTTGCTCCAGACCATCTTTCAAAAATGCTTACAGTATATGAACCCAGAAGGACTCTCAGATCTTCAGATTCTTTTCTTCTAACTGTAGCTACCTCATAGTAGTAGAACTAAAACATTTGGTGATGCTGCTTTAAGCCGTCATGCTCCTCGCCTCTGGAACAACCTCCCAGAAGACATAAGCTGTGCTGAAAGTATTAATAGTTTTAAATCTAAATTAAAAACATATATTTTTTAGTCTGGTCTTCCAGACTATATCTGTCCTATAAAGTCTTTGTATATTTTATGTTTTGTTTTTCCTTCCTTTTTAATATTTTTGTTTTATATTTCATATTTTAATCATACAAACTTTAATTTTTGTTCTTGTATTTTAAAGGGTTTATTTCTATTTTGTATTTGGTTTATTCTATTGTTTTGCATTTGGTTCCTTCTTGCTTGTAACGCACTTTGAACTGCATTAACTTGCTTGGAAAAGAGCTATATAAATAAAAATGTGCTCTGTTGATTTGCTTGATTATATTATCTATGATTTTATTATCTCAATTTAGTTTAATAAATTCAAGAATTGAGCACACAACGATGACCTAAATGAATGAACGAATAAAGCAAAATTTACCATTTGTCAGCAAGAAGCTTTTAATCTTTTAAAATACAATAAAATGTAGTACAATCACTTTTTTCTTTTACATTTTTTAATAACATAAATATCTGTTTTGCTGAAGGACGATGGAAAATTTTCACTCATATTTTGACATTTCATTTTCACGAAAGTTATTTGAAACATCAGAGCAGACCCTTTACTCGCATTTAATATTCTTTCTATGCATATAAAATCACTTTTATACATGTAATTTGATGCGAACCCCTTGCACAGAAAATATTTGATCGACTCTTTTTGTCTGTTTGTGTCAGTGAATCGCTCACCGATGACCTGGATGATCTCAGCCAGCAGCACGCCGTCACTCACGTCCTGCTGCAGGTCTTTAATCAGCCGCTTGTGTCCCGATTTGGCCAAGTAGTGATTCGCCCAGTCCGTGTAGATCTGTCAACACGAGAAAAGAAAGCTCGTTTATAAATCCTTCCATAAAAAAAGTTTCAAACAACTAGGCTTGACGACGTTCACGTCTCTCCGGCGGCTCCGCACTCTATTCAAGTCCACTCCATTGTGCCTTATTCAAGTTATTCAGCACCAATAATGCTCAAATTCTCCCGTCTGACATCACAGAAAAGCCCCTTCACTGGGGCAGGAGGAGGGAGACCCCAAGGGAGCCTAAATTAAACCTCTGAATGGGTCTGAAAGGAGTCATGTGTTGTTTGCTGTTTGGAGCGGGTCTGTCCAAAAACATTCCCGCGTCCCATCACAAGTAAAGAAAAAGCGGGAAACAAGTCAAGCAGTGCAACAAGCTTTAAAAACCACTGAGATGCCAAAACCCTCACGTTATTTTGGAAAACTAAGCTTCCATAAAACATATCTTTAACTTACTTCCAGCATTTAAGTACCTTTATTAACAAAAATAAATAAATAATAATAATAATAATAAATACATACAAATAAATGACAATGGCTATTTTATACACATAGCTATTATTATTATTTTTGTTACATATACCATGATATTCTTTGAACTAACATGTAAATACCATGGTATTTTCCCATTTGACTTTAATATCACAATTTGAAATAAAATAATAGCCTATATAACATTGCATAAAGACCATAATAAAAGGTCTGAGTTTTTGCAGGTTTTTTAAAATATTTTTTTATTGGATGTGGTGCAGGATTTACACACACAAGGCCAGGCAGCAGTCAAACACATTCCCACATGGGTGTTGAACAGCTTGTGTTGTGTGTTTCATGAGTAAATAAAGCCTAAGTGTATTATTGCAGTGTTACTCATGTGAGGAATCCGTTTTCTAGATGGGAAAAACAGGTGCACCCTGAGTCCCTGTACCATCAAAATAAACACGCGCTCTCCCTCGATCGCTAGTCTTAAAACAGCACACAAAGCCCATATAATTACGCAGAGCAATGACCAAAGTCAGTGGAGAAATGCACAAATCCAACTCGTGCTTGGAAGGTTTATGGGCTAAATGAGTCAGATGCAATTAAAGATGAGGTGAAGACAGTGAAATGAAGGTAAGGGTAAACATGCCTTCAAGCAACAAAAGATAGAAGTAACGCTGCAATTACAGATGACACTTGTCTGTCAGACTGAACCTGCTCACCATCATGTAAACACTAAAATAGCTATGCATGTCAAAAGAAATGTTGGTCAGTATACAAATTTAGTACCAGTATTACCTTTAGCTCATCAGTATTCCTTTAAGTCAATATGATCATATCAACATTTGTAACAATGCTTTGAAGGTGCAGTAAGAATGTTTGTTTGTTTGTTTATTTATTTATTTAGTCGGACTGGCTGATGTGATTTTGGCATGAATATAGAATTATGGTAAAACAGTATTTAAAGTACACTAAAAAGTATTTGTTCAATTCAAAGTACAGTAATTATTAAACAGTTTTTTTTGGCTCATGATATGACTTGAATCTTTATTGTGATTTAACTGATATATTTGTCGGAAGTATTATGCCTTTCTTTTCGTAAAAGTTAAAGGGGTCATATGATGCGATTTCAAATTTTCCTTTCTCTTTGGAGTGTTACAAGCTCTTGGTGCATAAAGAAGATCTGTAAAGTTGCAAAGACTAAAGTCTCAAATCCAAAGAGATATTCTTTATAAACGTTAAGAGTCAACCACACCTACCTAAAATTCTAACACGCCCACACATATCTACGTCACTATGTATGTCAGGGAGACGGTGTGTGTTTCAGTGTGAAAGCAAAAGCATTTTATTTGGCCTTCCGGAAGTAGATGCAATTTGGAATCATTGGTTAAGATTTATTTACAACCCAGATGTTCGAATTTGTGCAACACATTTTATGGACGACAGTTTTTTTAACCTAGAAGAGTACAAGGCTGGCTGTGCACAAATTTATTTTGCTATTTCTAAAAAAAAAAAAAGGGTCAGTTCCCACTTTGCTATGACAATCTGGCACTTCTGACTCAGCGACTGTAAGTATGTTTTGTTACCAGTTTAAGTATTTGCTATTGACTGTTCAAATGCGGAGTTTTGCGCAGCG